AGATGGCAAACACTAGGTTGACTTTGACTCTCTGCATTCCCAGGTCTTTCATTAGCACTGCACATGGTTGTTGCAGGGAGCAGAGAGCCTTCAGAACAGCTGGGAGAGAGCTGCCTGGGCTGTGCTAACAAAATCCTTGTCCCACTCTTGGGGGCAAACCATGGGAAGGTCCTGTTGGGTGGGCAGGAGACCCTCGCTTGGCATCGTTCCCACAAGACCCAGCCTTCTCTCAAGCAAGCAATCCCACCTCTTGGAGCTGTTGGCTCAGAGAGGGGGACTTAGCCTCCTTACCTGGCAGATTTGCAAAACTGAGCTTCCAAATTCAGAGAAGAGAAAGGGAATTATTTGTGCACCACCACCAGGCTAGTGCAGTCATTCCAGAGCAGCACTGCACTGAAATGTGGGACCATACCTTTTATAGAGCGGTGGGAGAGCAGAGGTACACGGGCAGCGAGCACAACGTGATCTCTCCTGGGCTTATTTTGGTTTTAAATGATCCTATTTTGCCCGTGTTGCCTGCACATTGACATGACAACCGATGGGCTGAAACTTAGCGAAGTGCTGACCTCTCTGACGTGTGATTTGAGGCTGTCTCACAGAAAAATATTTGAAGGATCACCAGCTGAAATTGAAGTATTCAGCAGCAGGGCAAAGAGAACGACAGTGCGTGCATACAGAGAGGACTTTCCCTATGGTAATTCTGGCAGATGGCATAAGGTTGCAAGCAAGTAATAGAAAATTTTAAAACTAATGAAACAAGATTAACATAGGCCACTCCATTAGTATTTCTCCTCCCAAACAGCTCAGTCCTGATTATATTTTATATCCTTATGGAATTAAAGCACTGTACTTACTGGCAGCAAAGGGAAATTAGATCAGAATACTGTTTGTGGATGATTAACTTGCATTTCCTTTCAAACTAAATGTATGCGCTTGAGTCCTTCGGAGCCACCGACAGACACTTCTCTGAGGGGGAACTTGAGCAACAGAATATAGGGTCCAGTACTTCAGCTTAGGTGAAATAAACTGGACAACCAGAGACTCGGGTGAATACAAGACTTCCATACACTCTCACAAATTTATACGGTGTCACTGCATGAGGGAAGTTGCCTACAAAAATCTGATTGGGGAAAAAAAACTGAACAAACTTTTTCCTTATTGCATCCATTGCCCTCTGTATTATAACGAGAATGAAATAATTTGAGCAGTTATAAGGTATTTTGGGATCTGCCTTCTTCCAGTGACAACATAACTAAGTTTTGTTATAAAATACCTGTCACAGCTGATTTTTGGGATTTCTCTATTACAAACCACAGGACAGAGAAGTTCCGCACGTGAAGGTATTTTTAAGGATTACTCATTCCCTGAAAGTGGTTTTGCTGTTCTTGATGTGCATGGCTTTCTCTAGTGATAAGAGATCTGCACAAGGGAACTGAAGGGCAGAATTTAGGGCCAGCTTTTCAAGTATGGTTGCTTAAATCTGGGCAAAAAGAGGGGCTTATTTGCTGGGAGTATGGAGCATTTGCACTGCTAGAAGCTATAGACATTCAGCACTCCTGCAAACTAATCTTACTACAAAAGATGACTCAATGAGTATTTAGAAGTCAGATTTCCAAGAGCCTGAAGGGCCACATACCCCTTCAGGTGTGCAAGTCCAGCAGTTGGATGTCATGAGCATTTACAAAACACACACATCATTCTTCATCTGCCTAATGCTGCCATCCTCCAGATATAAACAGTACAAAAACACATGCCCGAGTCCTGAAATCTCAAATGAGTGAGTTTCTAATGCACAAAATATGTATTCTTCTTCCTAGCTCTCTTAGCCGATCTTCTGAGACCAAATGCAAGAAGACAACTTAAGAGTTGGTGAAGGTTTGCTTCACCTCCTTCTGTAACTCATCACACGCTCTGTCTCTAAGCTCTCCAAGCTTTTGCGTTGGACTACAAGACCTCTCTCCCATGCACTGGAAAGGGATGCTTGTTAATGTCTACAACAACCTCCACTAACACGTTACTCCCCGTGGTGACAAGGCAGCTCAGTGATGCTATTCCCTCTCCTTGTGTTTTAATCACTGGGTCTTGGTTGTCATCTGCAGAGGCTCAGAGTCATAGAATAGGATCATAGAATGGTGCAGGTTGGAAGAGACCTTAAAGATCATCAAGTTCCAGCCCCCTGCCCTGGGCAGGGACACCTCCCACTATAGCAGGTTTCTCCAAGCCCCATCCAGCCTGGCCTTGAACCCCTCCAGGGATGGGGCAGCCACAGCTTCTCTGGGCAACCTCTTCCAGTGTCTCACCACCCTCACAGGAAAGAATTTCTTCCAAAGATCTAATCTAACTCTCCTCTCAGTTTAAAACCATTACCCCTCGTCCTATGGCTCCACTCCCTGATCAAGAGTCCCTTCCCCATTTCTCCTGGAGCCCCTTTAGGGACTGGAAGGGGCTCTAAGGTCTCCCCAAAGCCTTCTCTTCTCCAGCCTGAAGAACCCCAACTCTCTCAGCCTGTCAGACGCTTCAAAAGACTCCCCCAACTTTAGATGCTGAGCAGAAGCACCTGGCTTGAGGGTGATGTCACCTTACACTCAGCAGGCAGATGTGAAGAGGTGCCAAGGGAGGACCAGCAGCAGCTGGTGAGCTGTCTCTCCCTGGAGATGCCTCTCATCCTCCATCAGAGGCAGAAGCAGCCTGCGGTGATAACGCTTCGGACTTGGGCACTCCATGAAGCGGGATGCGGCTCTCTCTAGCAGGGAATTATCTATTTTGTTCATGCTGAATCATCTCCTTCCGTCCCTTCTCAGACGGAGCAATCTGTCCCCCCGTGGGATGCACCTCCCCTTGCCGTGTCCCTGCTGGCACACCCTCCCGTGCTCTGGAGGAAATTTCTTGATGCATCAACACAATTTCTTAGAGCGCAGCTGCCCTTAAATAAAGTAGATTTTTGGGAATTAATAGGTGGGACTGACCTCTTTTTGCTGCTGAAAAACAAGGAAATCCCTATCAGTGCACTCTATTAAAATTGCCTGAAAATAAATTATATGCTGCTTTTATGATGGCAGTCATGCATATTTATATTATTATTATAATAAATTATTATTAGAGTTATTTCAAGTAATTTTGTTATTTGGCTTTCAGGGGCTTATCACACAAAAAGAAAAAGGGGCAGTGACCTGACGTCTCACATGAAAGATAAAGAGACATAAACTGTCTAAACAGCCACCTCACTTCACACGGAGAAGAAAATAATTTTTATGCAAATAGAGTCTGAGACCAAAATGCCTTTCTCCCTCACCTCCTTTCTATTTCATGATTAAATAATCATAAAGCTGTCACTAGAGACGGTATCGAAAGAGGTCTCAAATGGTAGAAATGAGAGTTTTCTGCATTTGTCTATTTTTAATTTCAAAAGGTATTTTGAATGAAAAAAGAAAGGGGGGGAAAGGAGCATAAAGCTATTCGCATGCCTGATTTCCCAGGAGTACAAACAGGCTCTATGTCCTCTTGTAATAATACAACAAATTTTCAAAAACAAACACAAATAAATGAAAATTAAACTATGATCCATAAATTTAATTGAGATTCACAGTGTCCAATGCTTTTCAAATTCAAATTGCCACCAGACAATGCATCTTTTTGCATAACGTATACAGCTAAAGAATAGGTGATAGCTTCTTCCCTCTCCTTTTTTTTGTATGAAGATATATACTTCAGTCGTAGTGCTGGAATTTTTGGACATAAAAGCTGAATAATCATTTATCATTTTTCATAGATGCTCCATATCATCTTGTACAGTGCTTAGAGTGCAGTACAAAAAGTGAGCAGGGAAAAACAAGCATTTTTGTCTTGAAGAATAGACCAAAATTGAATTCTTCTGTTATTAGAGAAAATATCCAAAGGTAACTGCAGCCGTTTTGTGTCAGAGGTCTTCAGTAAGTAGGATTAAAAACCCCAGTGGTAACACAGAATTCTCTGCAGATCAGCCATATCATTTCGGAAATTGAATATACACGTATGTCTTACCTAACAGGGGTGGCAATTTGGAGCTAGAAGAACTAAATCATGGACTGTGTCTACCAAAAAGGAGCTGCTCTACAAGAGATGTTATGCAACAGTTAAGATTTAATTTACAGTATTTACGTTCAGGACAACTTCACTGGGTAGCAAAGTTCTCCCTTGATCTTGTAGATATTCCAGGTCTTAATTTGTGCGACCTAAAGAAAAAAAAGCCTTTTCCTACAGAAAACCATTTTTTAAGCATGGATATTTAAAAGCACGGACACAGCATTGGGTGTCTAAAGGGTTGGGATCCCCCCAGCTACATGGGAATGCATTTCAGGGCCATGTTTGGCACTCCACTCTCACAGAGAATGTGGGATAGATGACTTTGGATGCTTTTTGGTGGAAAAAGGACCCAAAGAGGGCTGCCCAACATGTGGGTGTGTTGTGTGGGCCGAGGTGTGAGGTGACTCTCCCCATGGTGGTGCTCCCTTGGGGATAGGGCCCAAGCTTTGCTCTCTGGAGGTCTCTGAGGGACCACCATTGGTATGCTCTATGCTCACAGTGGGAATCCCAGCAGCAGGATTATTCAGGGGATTCTTCTTCCTGATGTTTACCCCTCTGATGACAACCAATGCTCTCCAGAGCCTCCTCCCCAATCTGTTGGACTGAACAAGCTCTTCGCATGTTCCTGTCAACCCACAGGTTCTCCCTCCTGCTGGTCACCTGAACAGCAACTGAAATATAAGCCCATATATCTGAAGGTGTAAACATATCTTTCCAATTTTGAACTAGGGAGATGCAATGTTTAACCATGCAGGAGTAAGCTGAAGGGTGGCGTTTCAAAGGTGAGAGGAAGAAATGTTTTAGGCAGCTTCTATTGTAAACCAGCATGATGTTTTTTGGATGGGAAGAAAGGGGAAAAATCCTTTAAAACCATGTAGGAACATCACCAGAGACACTATTTTAACTGTTAGTTAATGGTAAAACGAAATATTTCCTACCCATGAAAGTACAAATCATGTATTGAATCAGATTCCAAAGATGATGTAGTATGATAAGAAATGCCAAAAGTGATATGCAGAATGCTAACTCCTGTGAGGAAATAAGAAGAGCGCTTCACCAGGGTTGTCATGACACGAACTAGTCATTATCACTACGTTCAGTGAAAAAGCTCTGTTTCCACAGCACTTTTCCATGATATTCTTTTAATTGGAGGAAGGGAGTAAAAACAGTGGTGTGAGGAGCATCAGCTGGGGTTTCAAAAATCAAACAACAAAAAACAAATACGGCATTTCAGAGTGGGTTGTGTAAAAATCACATGCAGGAAAAAACAAAGTTGAAGTTCACATAGGTAAAAATGATCACTGCCACACGACAGAGGCCATTTTGCTTGTGACACAGGACACATTTCACCTCAGATCCACAAATCTGACCACGGCATCATCTCACAACACCACCCTTCCTAGGTTGGTCACTCTGCCTTTTCTGCTCTTCAGCACACTCTGTACCTTTCTGCTTGCCCAGGTTTCACTGAATTTCACTGAATTTCACTGAATTTCTAGAGTTGGAAGGGACCATAGAGATCATCTAGTCCAACTCCCCTGCTGAAGCAGGATTTCCTTATCCCTTCCTCTGCCTCCAGCCCAGGGACAACCCCATCCTCGTCTGTGCCCCCTGCTCCTTCCTACCCCTGTCCCCAGAACCACCTGCTACTCTTCTCAACATCCTCCTCCTCCCAGAATGTCAGTGTCACTTGTGATGCAGGAAAATATCATAATCCAGCATCCCCAAACTCACATGCCAACAGGAGCTGACATCCTTCCCAGGAGCCTGTTTTTATTCTCAGTACCTGATGATGAAGAAGGCTGGGTACCAGATTGCTGCTTCGCTGTGGCTGAGAACCACTGCCACTGGGTTTTTTTCAGACAGTTGGCCAGATCAAACCTTAATTTTGCTCTTCTATTTACTGCTGGTAAATTAGGACCCAGGGAAGCAGACTGCAGTCCGGATTTTACCTGCCTATGGTGAAGTTTGGCTGCCAAGTTATTGGTGGCACTGATATGAAGAAACAGCAGCAATTAATTTCACCGTGAATTTACCTGCTTTTGCCAGGTGGTTTGAAACGTACTTAAGAAGACGAGATCTAGCAGATTTGGAAATTTCAAAGTACTGTATTTTTCATCCCACTCAAATATTCTCAAATCAAACCCCATCTTGAGAAATAGCTACTGAAATTTGGGGGCCAAATTTTGCTTTTGTTAAGTCTGGAGTCAGCGAGGATCCTCCTACCAAATTCGAGTGTCATTGACTAAAGCTTCCAGCTAAAAGCTAAACAGCCCTTTTATCATATCTGCATGAATTCCTTCTTCTTGCAACTTTTTGCCTGCCACGTAATGGTTTATCGTGGTAGGGCTTCTTGTATGTGCTGAATGGTCAACTCCAACTTTAAAGGGAACAGCATGAAATACTTACTACCCACTTGTGCTTTTACACAGACACATAATCTCCTCCCGTCGCACACGTACAGGTAATTGCTTTGTTAAAACATACGGCCTAAGCCTGTAAATCAGGATGGTGTAATTTAGAGAGTGCTGCCCATGGGCTGGTAGCGTGGATCCACACGCAGGAGTAGGCATAGTGTGCAAATGCTTCACACACAGGTCCCTCAGTTCTGTTCCTTGGATATGTGGAGTTTGTACCCATATGCAGAAGAAGGAATATCCAAATTCAGGTAATCCTAACTCTAACACTGTCATTTTAACAGAAAAGTCCTTCCATACCCTACACATCAGTTTCTGTTATCCCATCATGGTGCTGGTAGCCTAACACAGAACTGGAATATTTTATCCTCATGCCTTCCGTTAATCACAGAATGATACAGGGTTGGAAGGGACCTCTGGAGATCATCTAGTCCAACCCCTCTGCCAAAGCAGGTCCACCCAGAGCAGGTTGCACAGGAACGTGTCCAGGTGGGTTTTGAATGTCTCCAGAGAAGGAGACTCCACCACTTCTCTGGGCAGCCTCTTCCAGGGCTCTGCCACCCTCACAGGAAAGAAGTTCCTCCTCATGTTTAAGTGGAACTTCTTATATTCAAGTTTGTGCCCACTTCCTCTTGTCCTGTCACTGGGCACCACTGAAAAAAGCCTAGTCCCATCCTCCTGACACCTGACCTTCAAGTATTGATAAGCATTGATCTGATCCCCCCTCAGTCTTCTCTTCTCCAGACTAAAAAGACCCAAGTCCCTCCCCCTCTCCTCATCAGAGAGATGTTCTAGTCCCCTCATCATCTTTGTAGCTCTATGAATCAAGTCCTTGAAGGAGACCCTGTTCAGCAGATCTGAACTCAGGAGACCACACTGCTTACTGAGGGGCAGCAAAACACCCAGGAAGGCTCCGGGTATTTGCAGAACTGGGTGTTCCCATGGGGAAGCCAGGCTCCGGGAGCAGCCACGGAGATGCACAAGGCAAAGCCAAGCCCTAGCTGCTCTGCCAGCGGTAGTAGGATGGCGTGTGATGGTACACAGGCTTTCATGGGGTGACGAGGATAATCTCATGCACAGGTTTTGTCTGCTACTAACGCATGCAAATATCCAACAGTGCTGAGGGCACCACCAGCCTCGCTGGCAGCTCCAGAGCGTGTGTGTGAGCAACACAGACAGCAGCTCACACGAGCGAGGGGCACTGGCAGGCCAGCACGGGCAGCCACGGCCATGCTGCTCTGAAGCCAAAAAGTCAGCCTGCCACGCATTGAAACCATCTGTAGATCCAGTGGGGTTTGCCGCAACGACAACTTGGCGCTCTTTCCGTACGTCTGAAGTTATCCTTTAGCATGCAGAGGAAAATTAAGTCACATTTTCCTTAAATATTGCCGCCTGGCTGGGCGCCCCGGCACTCGGGGGTGACTTCGGTGGCACTGACCTTGGAGGTTGCTGCGGTGGCATTACTTTCCTTACCACTCCCCGGCGCGCTCTCCTCCATCGCTTCCGCTGCGGGGGGTTCTGCCTTCTTTGCACTTGTTTCCAGAGAAACAGGAGGAGGCCCTACTTTCCCCAACCCGCTCGCCGGGGTTGAGCTGGGACTGCTCGGCTGCCGCGACTGAGCCTTATACCAGCTAGGGTAAAACAAGGGGTCGCTGGTTTCTGCTGTGGCCGGCACTTGAGTGTCAGACTCTGGGGTCTGTTGAGGACCACTGGGTGTCACAACCTCAGCCTTCATCGGGACAGATAAAGAGAAGAACAAGCAAGAGTGCACCACGTTACCTTCCTGACGGAGCCACATTGCTCTGCATGCCCCTTTTTTTTAATATATATATATTTTTTTTCACCACAAGGAATAGATTTATCCTAATATAAGTCCAAGATAATTACAATCAAAATGCAAAGCAGAAGCAGCTATCGTTTGAATAACACAGACATGGGAAAGAGAAAAATGTTACCCCCAAAAAAACAGAATAAGAGGGGGGTAGAATTAGCTGGGAAGGGAGAGACTGAGAATCGTTTGAATAACACAGACAGGGGAAAGAAAAAAATGTTACCCCAAAAAAACAGAATAAGAAGGTAGAATTAGCTGGGAAGGGAGAGACTGAGAAAGGAGTGAGCAAGCAGTTCCTTAATTCAGGTAAACACCCAATTCAATCCTAAAAACGTAAGAAATTTTGCATAAGAGCCTCATGAACCAACAACAAACAACAGGTGTGGGTACCTTTGAATAGCTTGTTGGGTTTCGGGTCAAGAACAACAGGTTTGCCAATGAGTTTGTTGATATAAAGGGGTCAGAATAAGGGGAATACAGAGACACTGGAGAGGAACCTTTGCCCACCAGCCTTGCCCATCAGTGCCATGGGCCAAGCACGGTTGCTCTGCCAGGAAGAGGAACAGCCAACTGAGCTGCACCTCCCTACCTGCACCAGGCTCTTTGGGCTCACCCACACAGTACCTGCTCTCACCACAGCATTTCTGCTTTGCCTTTCTTAGGCCAGGAGGCAAAAGCTGAAATACAGGTACCTCACACTCCACAACACCATGACACGGCCATGTCTGACCATCTCCTGATGGCATTTCGCAAGCGCTACAGCGGCATGCCCTACCTTTGCCATTTTAGCCTTAGAAGTGAGGGACTTCATGCAAGTGGGAAGAGCTACTTAAATCTGGTTCTCTTTCGCATAAAAGCCTACATCAGTCAGGTGACATAGGTTTGGTTAAGTCAGACATAGGTTTGGTTAACTCAAAAGGCAAACTTTGCTTAAATCAACACAGACTGATTTAAGAGTATCTTCACGCAACTGGTGCAAACTCACGTATGTTTTTAAATCAAAGCAAGAATGAATCCATAGTATTTATTTTCCCTTGTTTTGTGTGGGGAGCTTGTTGCAACCAAAGGTTCTTTATGTGTTCTCTTGTGTTCACACTGGCCTCCTGACATATCTTCAGAGCAGCCTTTACCCACTCAGCAACTTCACTGAGCAAATTGATTAAGAGGAAAATTTGCTGAATTAATTGTACGTAAGGCCAGCTTGCACAAGACGTGTATTTTTATGTAGGTCTTTTAGAATGTGTGGCAATTGTGATCTGATTCTAATTGCGTTCCTTACGAAAAAGTAACTGGCCTAAAGTATTGACAGCCTGAACCTGTTTGCTGCTGGGTTGTAGGAGGCACCCTCTCCAGTTTGGTGTATGATATCCCTGCAGCCACCTAGACCATATCCCTAGGGCGACCAGAGCAGAAGGGGGCAAACGCCACTCAAAGACAACAGATTAGAAACGTGCTCTAAAAATTGGTGCTGGAAAGCTCACTAGACCCAGAGGGAATGCCAAACTCTCTTACTATAAATATTTTAACAACCATTTCATTTATAAGAGTTAGTCTGAGTTAAATCACAGCAAGCAGAACACCCACTGTAATGTGCTTAACTCCCAAACGGAATGTCTTCTGTCCGTATCTTATGTATCCCATACGTATCTCAACTTATCAGCAGAATTAGTTTTTGCTTTTTTAAGCGATCAGGGAGTGATTTCTCGCTCTGCCAGGGCACAGTCAGCACAGCTGGGGGACAGTGGGACACTGGTGGCACTCACCTGACCAGCTGGGGTGGCAGACGGTGGCACCGGAGCAGGTTCGGCCGGAGGCTCTTCCACCACGCTCTGAGGTTCAGGGTCCTGCTGAGGTGGCTGTGATGCTCTCTCAGCCCCTTCCTCCTCCACCTCTTCCTCCTCCTCTTCTCCTGATGACTCAGTGTGGACTTCATCCAGATCTTCACCATCCACCGTCTCTTCCTCTTCCTCCTCTCCCTCCTCCTCTGGTAGGACATGAATAAAAGGATAGAGCTGAGCACCACGCTAAATGTGAGGTGGCTGTGATGCTCTCTCAGCCCCTTCCTCCTCCACCTCTTCCTCCTCCTCTTCTCCTGATGACTCAGTGTGGACTTCATCCAGATCTTCACCATCCACCGTCTCTTCCTCCTCTCCCTCCTCCTCTGGTAGGACATGAATAAAAGGACAGGGTTGAGCACCACACGCTAAATGTGGTGCTTTGATGGGGCTTTGTCTTCTGTCCGTATCTTATGTATCCCATACGTATCTCAACTTATCAGCAGAATTAGTTTTTGCTTTTTTAAGCGATCAGGGAGTGATTTCTCGCTCTGCCAGGGCACAGGTCTTCTGTCCGTATCTTATGTATCCCATACATATCTCAACTTATCAGAAGAATTAGTTTTTGCATTTTAAGCGATCAGGGAGTGATTTCTCTCTCTGCCAGGGCACACTCAGCACAGCTGGGGGACAGTGGGACACTGGTGGCACTCACCTGACCAGCTGGGGTGGCAGACGGTGGCACCGGAGCAGGTTCGGCCGGAGGCTCTTCCACCACGCTCTGAGGTTCAGGGTCCTGCTGAGGTGGCTGTGATGCTCTCTCAGCCCCTTCCTCCTCCACCTCTTCCTCCTCCTCTTCTCCTGATGACTCAGTGTGGACTTCATCCAGATCTTCACCATCCACCGTCTCTTCCTCTTCCTCCTCTCCCTCCTCCTCTGGTAGGACATGAATAAAAGGATAGAGCTGAGCACCACGCTAAATGTGGGGCTTTGATGGGGCTTTGAGCAACCTGGTCTGGTGGGAGGTGTCCCTGCCCAGGGCAGGGGGTTGGAACTTGATGATCTTTAAGGTCTCTTCCAACCCAAACCATTCTATGATTCTAACAGGTGCTTTGCAGTGGGTAGGAGACCAAACACACATGCTTGTTAGACTCTCAAGCCACCTATTTCCATGGGAAGGAGGACAGAAATTCCTGCCAATGCAGTTATCCTCATGAGGGATCCATGGCACAGCCCTGCACTTTTTGGGGAAAGCATACCTGGTCTGGCACAATCTGCCAGGAAAAAAGTCCCTCTCGCAATTTTAGGTATGTGTTTATTTTAAAAAAAATTGAAGCCATCATAATAATTCTTTCCCAGGTCAGTGCTTTGCAGTACATGACTGGTGGTTTGGGATAGCAACCTCCCTGAAACCAAACTGTCAAACTTGGTCAAACCATTGCTTTTCTGTCATCTGACATGTCCTGTTGTCAACATTTGTGGCTCAGCTCATTTCCAGAGGGAGCCCTCTAACAATGCATTTTCTTTTGCAGAATCACACTATTCATCCTCACAAACATCAGATGTTGTTCAGAGTCACCCTAGAACTTCAGAGACATAAACTCAGATGCTTTAAACCAAACTCTAATTTGGCTGCACATTTTGCACAGGTTATGGTTGTGCTTGAGTATGTAGAAGGAGTGCAGATCTGCAAATTGAGTTACACCCTCATAACAGAGACATGTTTCAGTGCATTTTAGTCTTGAGAAGAGAAGGCTGATCAATGCCTATAAATACTTGAAGGGTGGGTGTCAGGAGGATGGGGCCAGGCTTTTTTCAGTGGTGCCCAGGGACAGGACAAGAGGGGACAGGCAAAAACTTGAACATAAGAAGTTCCATCTAAACATGATCCTGGAACATAGGAAGTTCCATCTAAACATGAGAAGCAATTTATTTCCTGTGAGGGTGGCAGAGCCCTGGCAGAGGCTGCCCAGAGAGGTGGTGGAGTCTCCATCTCTGGAGACATTCAAAACCTGCCTGAACACGTTCCTGTACAACCTGCTCTGGGTGGACCTGCTTTTGCAAGAGGGTTGGACTGGATGACCTCCAGAGGTCCCTTCCAACCCCATATCATTCTGTCATTCTGTCTATAAGCAGAGTGCTGAGTCTCTGCTTCCATGTCCCCTAGCTGCAGAGGACCTCCGTGACTATAGGAGGAGTTTCAAATGCAGGACTGATCTCCCAATTGCCAAAGCCCTTGCCCCCAAGAGGCAGGTGTCACATTCCCCATCACAGGAGGGGTGTGTGTGTGCCTGGAGCACGAGGTGACAATCTTGGCAGATATACCTGTGTGTGGCAGGGATGTGGCAGCTGTGGCTGATCACAGGGACGAACATGGGCACCAGGCTGTGACCAAGGATTGTCTCTTCCAAGACAAATCCCTGGAGGTTCATGGCCCTGCGAGATGGCACCTGCTGCTGACTGGTGTCACAGCTGCTGGTCCCTCTACATGGAGCCCTGTGCCAACTACCACTAGTCCACGGGGTCCCAACCTACAGCAGGCACCCAAGGTCCCTCACAGGGAGCAGCCACACACCATGAAGTCAACATAAATTGTGGCAGGGGAGTAAGCAATGGGTAAGCACCTGCATAAGACTTAATTAGGCTCATAAAGGTAAACCAGGCAGAATCCAGTGCCAGCAAGAAAATTAGAGATATCCAGATGACTTTTTCTGCTGCCTTTTAATAGGAGAGATCTGCTTATTTGAAACATTTATCTCCATTGGCTTCTTGTGGCTTACTCTGTGAGGTAAAACATAGATGAGCCCAGATTTTAGTCTACTTTTGTAAACAGAATAGAATAGAATGACAGCTGCACATTATTATATAGACATATTAAGCTTGTTTAGTCATGATGTCATGACAAATGACATGACACAAGATGTTAAATGCATGAAAGATGATGACAGTTTTTGCTTCCCTCTATAATTCTTTCATCTTGAATTTTGATTATATTTGTTACATTTCTCAATTATCATAAAAAATATTTTAAAACAGTAACTTTCAAAAGTACTTTTAGTAGTAAATATTCTATTTCTTTACTGACTTTCTAGAACAGACATACAAATATGGCTTCTTTTAGAGAAATAAATGACTTTACAGACTGAGATAAAAGCCTAATTTTGTGGTCCCTTCATATGAGGAGTCAGTAAAAGCCATGGGCTCAGGAAAGCGTTGAGGCCACATAAAAGGTAAGATTAATGGTGTCAACAGGTTATGTGATTTTTTGACTGTGATGGATTTTTACTTTTGGTTATAAAATGGTCTAGATACACTTTGGGATGAAGAGAAATATCTGATTCAAGTTTTCCTACTCAGTATAATCACGTAAATTACACAGAGTTGCAATTTAAGAAAGCAATTTAGGTGAAATAAATAACATACCTCTGTCGAAATCAATTTCTCGTATTATCTTTTCTTCTCTACTGAGGTTCACTGTGAATTGGTTCATATTTTCATACCCGTCCTCTATTTTTTCCATTTGAAATCCTTTAGATGCTTCAGTAATTCTAAAACAGAGAGAAAGGTTATTGGCATTTGGATCTGCAGATAAATTTGTAATTTGTAATTCATTACAAAGATAAGAGTCTCAAGTTTAAATACTTACTTTTGTAGCAATGTTTTGGCATTCTGTGAAAACAAAAAGGAAATAAGCAACTTCTTAAATGGTTCCACATTTTCAGAGATTTTATGCATTGAGATTTAATTCTTACACTGGCTGCTTCTAAACGCACTAATATGAATCTTGTAAATGACAACCATGAGATCTATGAATGAGATCAAATTTGGGTGGTACTTAGTATACAGCTGAGTAAACCTTTTAGTTCATTGAAGACTTTTTAATTAAAACATGAATATGATGGGAAATACATACAATTTCTACAAAAATGAAATGGAAATATTTTTGCTCTTTGTGTGTGTGTGTTTGTGGTGAAAAGTGATCGCTCCATTACCATTTTTAGTCAGAGTAACTGTATCTTTGATTATCCATAAAGGCACACTCCTGGAGCCACAAAATTTTATCTGTCTGGAAAGAATATTGTACTATTCGAAGGCAATTCTTCGATGAAAATAAAGTTGGTTTTTTTTTTTGTTTGTTTGTTTGTTTGTTTGTTTTTGTAGAAAATACCCTTCCAGCCTTTAATATAGAGGAACTGTAAACTTGCAGGACAGAAATTCTACACCAATGAATTCAGTGGACAGGCTGCTAATCGTTTCCCAATCAGCTCTCTTTAGTTTATAGTAAAAAAAACAGAAGAAAAAAAAAAAAAAAAAAAAAAAAAAAAAAAGAAAAAAAAAAAAAAAGAAGTAAAGACATAAAAATGAGACTCAGAACCTAAATATTTAGCTCCTGGAAAGTTAATCAATCTGCCAATATGCAAATGAAACGTATAACTCACAGAAGTTCATATACACATAAATTGTATGTGGTGGGACAATAAAGCTATGTTGGAAAATGCTAAAATTTCTATTTCTTCTTTGGGGACCAGGAATTCACACACAGGATAGTATATTTTGCTGCAAATAGCAAATACTCATGTTCTTGGTTTGGATACTATTCACAAGAAGACTAGTCACTTAAACTGTGCTGTTGCAAGTGTTTAAAAAATGAGTTTGTATAAATGTTCACTCAAAGATGACCAAACTCTGTATGTGCCTAAAATTAGGAAATGTTTAAGTAGTATCTCAATAAACCCATCACTCTTTTTCTGTTTCTATTTATAGACTTCATACCTGCAAAAACACAGCCATTTCTGGTTCTTCCATGAACTGGATTCCTGATTCAACCAGCTTTGACACAGCTTCCAAATGATCCGCATACTTCTTCATCAGGGAGCGGACGTGTTCCAGTTTCTCCTCTTGGGTTCTAGTGATTATTTGTGTCATCTCATTTTTTCTTTCTTCCAGTACAGAATAGAGATAATCAAATTTTTCACACAGCTGCTCTTTCTGTCGTCTGCAGCATTCCTGTGAATCATTTGGTTTATGTTAAACATGTTATGTTCTTAAAAGAGTTTCTATTTTTATAGTTACTTGGAAGCATTTTCATCAAAGAAATTCCTCTTTCTGAACAGTGCAAAGGATTCTGAATGACCCCAGAGACTTCTACAATTTTCAAAGTCCAAACTATTGGAACAAAAGTTTTAAAACTGTTCTCAAACTCTGAGTTTCAAGCCACTGAGAGCCCCCAAACAGGTTATTGTATAACTTGCCAGTCTGCTAAAAAGTCATGAAAGGTATTTATGACATCTGTAGTGATACATCAAAGTCTGCAGAAAAAGTAAAAACCCCCACTATATTAGCAGCTGGGCTCATTTTCACAAACAGAATGGTTTCAAAGGAGTGATCATCTCTGAAATCAGCTCTGGAGCATTTTCTTTTTCTACCAGAGAACCTGGAACTGTCCTGGCCGGGCTTGATTTTCACATACATCCCCCTTAGACTCTATTTTGACAATAGGTGTCCATTATATTCCATTTACTGTGCACTGAATGAGGTAGAGGTACCACAAAGAAAATGGCGTCACAAAAGCACAAAGAGAAGAAGGAGGAATCAGGTTCCAACCCTGCCTTCAGGCACTGATTTTCACGTCATTCTTTGCAGCACTTTTATTGTCCTTCCAACCAGACAATGTTGCATATTTCACCGAGTAAGGAGGCTCTGTTTGATGACTGCTTCATTGAGCTCTCTAACAAGAACACACTGCACTTGCAAGGGAGGATTTATGGGGGGAGGAAATCAGAGACAGGTTATCTATAACCTCTGAGGCCTACCAAATAGAAGGACTTGAGTCATCTGTGTGCCCTAGGGCACACAAAGGGGCATAACCTTATTGTTCTTATATCTGGTTGTGATTATTTAAATCTCTTTCCTAGGAAATGGGGCTGAATCAATTCATCTTCATCCCTCGAGGCATAGTGCAGAGATCCTGGCAGCACTGGATTATTAACATTCCCATGGTACTTTTGGAAGTGATAAGACTGATTATTGATAGCACTTGGCCAGAGAGAATCCCACTTTTTTCTTGACTTTCAGCCATAACTCTTCCTACGAGTGATGACAGTCTGCTCTGTATCATTCAAAGAAGAAAGCCTTTTGAAGATGGACGTGTGGCCAAAAATCAGTCTACGTTGAAGGGTGGGGAGTGAATACAAATCTCATTGTATTGACCCAAGTATCCACTCCTGCTTCCCAATGAGGAAGATTAGGCTAAAGAGGCACTCCTAATTTAAAACTCCTTGGGGGCAGGGGCAGGCTTTTCCTGCCCTGCTGGAGGTCCTTGCCACTTCCCAGAAATTCCTGCTTAGTGGTTTATAGGGTGGGGATAAGAAAGTTTTGGAACTCAGTAATGGTTCTTGGGTGTCATTCTATTGTTCAGACCTCAAATAATCTTCCTCTCCTCTTTCACTTCTCTCCTGGCTTTCACTCGGTGTTTCCTGCCACCTCACTAGCTCCAGACCCCTCTTTGGTTCCGTCTACAATGACCTCCCCTGAGTTGTCACTCAGACCACTTGTTAAAGAACCTTAATTTCAAGACAGGTGTGTGTTATCCTTGCCGTTTGACATGAGACAAGCGTTAGGGGAAGAAGAGCAAGAAAGCGATAGCAGGGTGCCCTGAGAGGTCCTTCCCTATCTCTGAGCTCTAATATGTAATATTTCCTGCCAGCAGATATTACAGAGTTGTGAACCTCAAGAGAGTGCAAAGCAGGTTCCTAACTGCAAATGCGGAAATATTTCTGAAATATTCTCTTCCTTTATAACACCTCCCTGTACGAAGTCTCTGCCTGATGGAATTACCCTAATCAGGTTCTGAGTGATGAAAAAGGTTAACAAATACATGACTTTCCATTCTAAAAAGTTCTCAGCCTTTTTTGTTCTTTAAAGCACAGCTACAGGAAAAAAAAAAGGAGTCCTTGCCACTGAGCATGAGTTGCATGGCTTGTTCTGAGGTATCTGCATTGACTGGCCCACGCTATTAACATTTGAAAGAAATACTGTAATTTTTCCTTATTGGACTCCTATTGTTTACAGGGCTAAACAGTACTTAATTATTTGCTATTGTTTCCCGGTATTTGGTATTCTATATTCCTTTTTTATTTTTTTATTTTCAGTGTAATATGTGAATTTGGTCTACCTTTCAGTCAGGTAAAGGTTATACAAGTATGAATCAGGTTTTTCTGTTTGTTTTTCTCTTTTTTAGGCTTTGATAGGAGCAATAGCTAAAAATGGAACTGTAGGCTATTTCTTGCTCCAGCTAAAAGAAAAATGATCATGTATTTTCTGCTAGAGCAGATATTTATCGCTCTCTGCAAAGCGTTAAGTAGAGAGAAGAGACAATCCTGGATCATGAGCTTTATTTCCATGTGTGCACATTTCTCGGCTCCAGCTGTGGCTTTTCATCTTCAAGGACAAACTGATGTCAATTCAGACAAAGCTCTTGTATGGCAGGAAATGTGATTTGCTTGAAATGTAACATGGAAGTGCCAAGGTAAGCTCTAAGATCTATTTTCTGCAGTCTTTGACTTTAAAGGTGAGAAGCCTGTTAAAACATCTGAAGGTAAAATGGCTGCACTTTCTTTGGGCTTCGAGTTTAAAGGTTAGACTTTAAACTGAATGGATGACTCCGAGGAAGATAGTTTCAGAAGCTGTTGTATTTATTAAGGTATTTTTAGCACTGTGTTTTCTCCATTCTTCAGACTAGATGTTTGAAGTTTGTTTCTGGTTCAGCTAGTTCAACTTAAATGAGTATAATCTTTTGCTTTTGTATCATTCAAATTTCTGCTGTTAACCTACTTGAAAGGCTTGTTTCTGTCTGCAAAGTCCTGATAGCAGCTGATTTCATCCTTGCGACGGGAAGGCTTCCTGACTACAAAGTTCTGACTGCTGCTAATGTGCTCTCTCATTTACTTGGGCTAATGGTTTTACGTTCTTTAGAACCAAACTTGGACATTCTCTGTTCTTCCTTGGAAGAAGGAGCCTTGGGCAATTGTGTACACAGATTGTGGAATCAATTTTTCTTACCAATTAGAATCTAAACATCTTGGATTAACTTCTTTTTCTCTGCAGTTTCTCTTTTCTGCTCCAGCTCTGAAGGGTCAATATAATTCTAATTGGGCGGAGAGGGATGCAACTCCTTCACCAGATGCTTCATCGAACTCTGATCATAAAACCAATTCATATGAGCTCCTTTCAGCCTATTGCTCTGTGATGCTCAAATTGGTCAAAGCTGATATTTATATTTGCTTTGCTGGCGCAAACCTCTTAGAGGAAATGAAAACCACTCCTGGAATTGAACGACACAAAACTAATTCCAGCTCTGTCAGAGCAAGACCTTTACCAGAAAACCCAGACTCACAGTAAGAGCCCAAACTCTTCCCTCCCATGAGCAACAAAATGTGAATTCTTGAAGGACAACATAAGTATATTAAATATCTACTTCTGCACAGCAGGCAAAATAACCAAAGACAGAGCTCACTGATGTACGTGGGAGCTGTGCTGGGGCTACCCTGTGACTGAGACACAGGGACCAGTCATAGGACCAGTCAGATCTTAAACTAATACTGGTCTTTTACAGCTTTAGCACCTGATCTTAGATATCAGATGAACTGATGGCATTTTGTTGGATCTGCTTTTAACTCCTGTGACATCCTATGCCACTAAGAGCGCTGAGCAAGACGTGCTGATGTGGACTAATCCTTACTCTTTGTCCTCAGCCAGGTGGCCAATGTCAGAGGCAGGGTGCCCTTCAGTTGAGGCAACACAGCTGATGCTGTACAAAGCCACAGGACATGGATTAGCAAAAGGATAAGGGAATGCATGTGGGTGAAGTGAGCAACACAGCTGATGCTGTACAAAGCCACAGGCCATGGATTAGCAAAAGGATAAGGGTGAAGTGAACTCAGCCAGGTGGCCAATGTCAGAGGCAGGGTGCCCAGCAGAACGTGTCCTTCAGTTGAGGCAACACAGCTGATGCTGTACAAAGCCACAGGCCATGGATTAGCAAAAGGATAAGGGTGAAGTGAAGTGTGCTAAAGAGCGATCGTTACCTTCAGTTTAAAAGGTGCGACTTCGCACCAAAACATCTGCATTTGAAGGGTTGGTACCTACCTCAACCGTCTTGCAGGTCTCCTCCAGCTGCGTGACTATCCCTTGCACTCTGTCGTTGCTCCCCACCAGGACCGCAATGCCATCGCTCAGCTCGGACTAGGCAGCAAGAAGAGAGTCAACAAGTTGGGGGGGTTAGACACTGTCCCACATCAGGGTGGCACGTCTAACTGTGGGGAGCTGGGGAGGAATGAGCTGTAGCGGGGTAATTAACTCTGCTTTCCACCAGAACTGAGGAAAATTGGAGCTTTTCCCACCCACAGATTACCCACTAGTACTTTGACATTTGTTTCCTCTCCCAAAACACTATGGAAACATCCACATTTTGAATCTTTCCATGGAGGAGAAGCTGTGATTTGTAAAGGGGGAAGCACTTTGTTCTAGGAAACCCTTCTAGATACTTTTGTCTGAAGTGCTCTGTTTCAACAGCCCCAAAATATTCTCTTTGGGTTTGTTAAGAGAAAAGTCTTTGTCTCTTGAATGATTATTTTATTTTTTTTTGGAGGGTGGTCTGGGTCTAGCCACACCACCGTAGTATTTCCCTGATGACTGTAGCTCTCAACTCTGGAGACAAGAGGTGGCCCTTGGACTTGGAGGGATGGGGGTGCTTCAGAGTGCCTGGCATAAGGACAGTGGGGCTGTGGTGAGAGGAGAAGGGAGAAAAGGAGTCAGAGAAGGTGAAGGCTGAGCCACTGGGATGAGGGAAATGAGTGGCAGAAGGGAATGGCCTGGGTGTGGGAAGGGAGATGACTGTGGGGTGTCCTTGGAAGAGGAGAGACAGAGAAGGTAGTCCCCAGGGAACTTGTTGAGGGTCCTGGGGAGGGCAAGGAGCCCTTGGCACACCACTGCAGTGACAGAGGCAACCTTGTCCATGGCCTCCACAGCTTTGTAAAGGATCCTTTGAAGCAGACATCCATCAGCCTCAAATCTTGGGCATTGTAGCCCCTTTCTGCAAGAACCACTTGCAGAACCAAGGGAAACCACTGCTTGCAAATCTCCACGCAAAGGGAGTGATGAGGGGCATGGATTCAGTCCAAGAAACTTCCCCCTCCTTTCTCCCTTCCTTTTTGATGGAGAAGGATGTTTGTAACTACTTTCCTAAAGTGACTTCTCATTTGTAGTTTCCACACACAGGCATCTGTGTGACAAAGTTGGAGGCTGGGATTGCAAACTTGGCCTGTCTGATTGCTTGCCCCACTGGGGCCCTCCAGAAAAATGAGCTGTTTATCTCAGGAGGATAACCCAGTGAGTCAGGTTTTAAATTAATACTGTATTAAAAATAAACAAGTCTTTTACTGGTGACAGCAAGGGCAGAGGATGTTAGGTACATCCTGTGCTGCCAACTATTGAATATTCCTGCATTCACTTGCAGTAGGAGGTTTTTCACTTAACTTTTCTTAAAAATGGGATGCTTAAAGGCAAAAGTGCCTGATAGATGGCTATTTGATTTGTAATGGTCTGTTCTCTTTCCAGTTCACGTGTTGGAAATCCCACTTGTTTTTCCAATCTAAAAACACTGGAAAAAAAAGAGATTAGGAACCTCAAAAAAGGGATCCTCAGCTTCACGTCAAATCGCTGTCTGAAATGTTTGCTCACTGTCCAAAAAAAAAAAAGGGACACTGTAGTATCTTTCTGTGTGATTTCTTATAAATTTATTTTCCTATGTTTCCAAGCAGTTCCTATGGATTTGCGTGAGCCTTTCACTCTCACACAGGAATGGCAAAGGCACCTCTAGGCCCCTTTGGAAACTCTTAGGAAGCCCATGGGAATGCTTCCCCGTCGATGGTCCCATCAGTTGCTGGGAGGACTATGAGGTACAAAGAGATATTTACCTTCTGTCGCTGGTAAACGTTTGTGAGAGGAGCAACTTGGCAGTCCTTGTGGGCACCAAAGACTTTGCACAAGGAGCAGGTGGGCATTTCACAGTTCAAACAATAGATATTAATTCTCTCATCTTCGTGCTCTTCGCACATTGGCTGGTCACACTTCCTTTCGGGTCTGCAGAAGAGAAGAATTTTAAAGCAAACTTGGTGCTCGGGAGTTTCTGATGATAACGCTTTGGGTGTCAGCATGAAATGGGGTACGTTTGTATAGCAGTGCCTAAGGTTGACCTGAATACACAGCTGTGGACTTCAACCTGCCACACAGGATGACTAAATGGACAGTGGTACAACTTAATGTCCTGACACAATGGGATGTGGTGGCAATATAGCAAGATGACTTCATATGGGGATTCCAGCTGGGAGTGTGACTGAACCCTTGGCTCATCTTTAAAAATGTAAATGGCCTGACTAAGACAGGTCTCAGACTACTCATGCACTTTAACCAGGGAGTTATCCAACATCTGCCTGAAAGATGAAACATATGCAATTCCTTTAGGGTTCCTCATGCAAAATGTTGGGCACTTGGCCTTAGTGCAGCAAAGTTCTTGTTCAGGGGGCTAATTTGAAGTGAGTCGCAGGTGTTGCTGGACCTTCATGCCCTTCACTCTGTATCTCTGCTGATGAGCTTTGTGAGGTGCAGATCAGGACTTTCATTATCAAGCAGAACTGGGTTCTTATGGCCTTTACACTCGGCCAGGAGCCTAAATAAGGTCTCACACAGATTAATTTTAGATGGGTGGCAGGTGTCTAGCTCATACAGTGTTGAACTTTTCAGCTACTCGATTGCACCAGCCACCAAGGGCATGGGTCACACAAGAAGCACTCCTCTCCTGTGCTAAGCCAGGAGCTGTCACCAGACTATAGCTCAATCCTGATCTTCCCTTCACCAAAATGATTTAGCATTATACACAGAAGTCAGTCCCTGCTATGTTAGGAACTAATTTAATTGTAGCTTCCTTAAAATGAGTCACTTCACTGACGTTCCCAATGTAAGTGAAGGCTCTGGTTTGGTCCACATGGGCAGGCGATGCTTTTCTGATGCACATGAGAGTGTTAAGGATGTGGTACCAGAGCACAAAGTCAATAGATTGATGGAGGGAGTGTACCTGGGGGTTAAAGCCTCCAAAGGTTACCACTCCTACTGTGGCAACATGAAATCTTTCCAATATAAGCCATTATTCCTTTCTGCTACCATTTGGAAGGAGATCTATGACTCTATGACCAGCAGTAAGTGGAGCAATGGCATCGTAGAAATATATCTTTTCATCATTAGATAGAAAATATTTTCCAAAACTATAGAGTTTAATGGAATTAAATGGCAACAATTTTTTACAAGCCATTCTACATTCTGGGGAGACCTCATAGCAGCCCTCCAGTACCTAAAGGGGGCTACAGGAGTGATGAGGAGGGACTCTTGATCAGGGAGGGGAGCCACAGGACAAGGGGGAATGGTGTTAAACTGAAAAAAGGGAGATTTAGATGAGATCTCAGGAAGAAATTCTTTGCTGTGAGGGTGGTGAGACCCTGGAAGAGGTTGCCCAGAGAAGCTGTGGCTGCCCCATCCCTGGAGGGGTTCAAGGCCAGGCTGGATGGGGCTTGGAGCAACCTGGTGTGGTGGGAGGTGTCCCTGCCCAGGGCAGGGGGTTGGAACTCAATGATCTTTAAGGTCTCTTCCAACACAAACCATTCTATGATTCTGTGATCTTTAAGGTACCTTCCAACTCTAACCATTCTGTGATTCTACAGAGCTCTGTAGCAAAGAGGCAGCCACTCATTCTATTACAAGTTTAAAAAAATACAGGAAGTTCACTATTTTAGATTATATTACAATAGAGTTTTTCCATACAGTTTGGTAGAGTGGACATGGCATTTATTTTTTAATGACAAAGTACAGGTTTTCTCTTCTGAAGGGAATGGAATGCCATCAATTAGATGCATTTAAAAAAAGATCAAGCACCAAAGAAAATGTCTCATGCATTCATATTTTTTAATTTCAGGAGGGCACTGGAATTTAGAGGGTTCATAAGGAAAAAATCTGTAATTTGCAGTATAAGACAATATACTAGAATAAAACAAGCCAGACACTTCTGAAGGAATCCTGCATTATATGGGTCAAATTTCCAGCATATCTTTACATAAGGCACTCGGTGTGTCACATCCAGAATCATTTCAATGCTGGTCAAAAGAGGGGTGTCTCATTATTAAGAATGTTTTACATTGCTTGCAGAGGACTGCAAACAGCCCCTAATTTATTCATGCTACAGTGCACTGGTGGGAGGGCAATAGCAGACAATGAATTTCAAAGTGATTAATTAAGCCTGAAATAGCTGCTCTTCCTGCAAATATTTACAAGACCAGAACCAGAAACTACCAGAATGTTATCTGTCACTGGAATGGTGCCACCAGCCTGAAAGACACCTCTCACAGGGCAAAAAAGTGACGGTGTCAAGCAAGTTCAGCCAGAAGTAGCCAACCTTCAAAGGTGCCGCCAAGAGCTGAAAGAAACCTGGCAGAACTCCCTGAACTAGTGGGGCCTTTAAGACAGTGACAGAGGGCTGGAAATAAACAGGTCTGCTCCCTGGGCTTTGCAAAAGGAGAGAGTTTTGGCAGAACGTTCCCCGACTTCAGAGGAGATCCTCTAGGTCTATCTAGGTATAACAAAGGCTAAACCACAACCCCTAAGTTTAAAATGGTGGCTGCTCCTGAAATGGATAATTAAAGGGTAGTCAGCAGGAACATGGCAGTATGGCTTAGGTGGAAGAAAAGATTCATCATAGATGTGCTTGTGACCAAAGAAGCAGCAGGCAGCTTAAATGGCTTCAAGCTTTGTCCTCTTGTTCTCTGACTCTGCTCTTTGAGATGCTAAGCTTGTGTCTGACTGCTACAGCCTTATTCTTTTCCATTAAAATGGGATTTTGACCTTCATGTGCGGAGTGTCGTGCGTGTTTTATGGAGAGGAGGATTCTCAGCACTGGCAAGGCCATTCCTGGAGTACTGTGTCCAGTTCTGGGCTCCCCAAATCATGAGAGACATGGACATCCCAGAGAGAGTCCAGCAAAGGCCCCTGACTGGACCATCTCTCCTGTGAGGAAAGGCTGAGAGAGCCGAGACTTTCAGCCTGGAGAAGAGAAGGTTTAGGAGGATCTTACAACGACCTTGATCTTACTAATACCTTCAAGTATCTAAATACCTGAAAGAAGGGTGTAATGATGATGGAGCCAGGCTCTTTGTAGTGGTGCCCACTGCCAGAATCAAGAGGCAACAGGCACAAACAGAAATGCAGGAAGTTCTCTCTGAACATCAGGAAATACTTTTTTACTGTGAGGCTGACTGAGTGCTGGAACTAAACAGGCACAAACTGAAATGCAGGAGGTTCCCTCTGAACATCAGGAAACACTTTTTTACCGTGAGGCTGACCGAGCACTGGAACAGAAAGATTGTAGAGTCTTGTTCCTTGGAGGTACTCAAAAACTCCCTCTGAACATCAGGAAACACTTTTTTACCGTGAGGCTGACCGAGCACTGGAACAGAAAGATTGTAGAGTCTTGTTCCTTGGAGGTACTCAAAAACCATCTGGATATGGTCCTGGGCAACTGGCTCTGGGTGGCCCTGCCTGAGCAAGAGGGTTGGACCAGATTCCCTCCACAAGTCCCTTCCCACCTCAGCCATTCTGTGATTCTGTGACTTGGTGAGGAAATGCAAAGCTGCTGGGCAAATAAAGGAGTGCAGTTCAACCAAGGATGCAGTAAGACCTTAGCAAAACCTCTGTTTAATTAAAAGGCATGTTTTCCTTAGGATTTCTACAAATCCAGAAAGGTCTCTACTAACATCCTGAATCCAACTTTGATAGCATTTTTACTGAGGATCCTAAAATAGCTGTAGCCCTTCCTGTACCATCACATCACCGAGTGCCTGCACCTGATCAGAGGATGGAGAGAATCTGCGTGACTCTATGAGGCACAGTGAGGTCATTAGTGAACATATAAAACTGTACTGTGCCCAGTATCAATCTCGGGCATAGACCGCTAATGACTGTCCTTCACCTGCCTTCATGCTGCTCACCATAACCCTTTGATTCTGGCAGTTCAGCCAGTTTTCAGTCCACCTCACTGTCCACTCTAGACCTTATTTGTCAATAAATAAGGGGATAGTGTTGAGTCGAGGTAAACAACATCCCCTGCTCTCCTCTCATTCACTGAGTTAGTCATCTCACTGTAAAAGGCTATCGGGTTGGTCAGGCATCATTTCCTTTCGTAAATCCATACCAACTATATCTAATCACCTTCTTATCTTTTACATGTCTGAAAATGGTTTCCAGGAGAGTTTACTCCAACACCTTCCAGGCACCAGTGTGAGGATGACCAGCCTATAGTTCCCTGGATTCTCCTCCTTGCACTTCCTGAAGACTAGAGTAACATTTGCTTTCTTCCAGTCCAGCTCTCAGGAACCTCTCCCTATTACTGTGACATTTCAAAGATTATTGGAAGTGGCCTTGCAATGACATCAGTCAGCTCCCTCACCACTCATGGGTGCCTCCCAGCAGGATGTACAGGTTTTTTTAATATTCCCTAACCTGATCCCCCTCCACTGAGGGTAGACTTTCTGCTGGTCTTGGGGGCCTGGGATTCCTGAAGGCCAGTCTTACCACTAAAGACTGAGGTGAAAAAGGCATTTGCGTACCTTGGCCTTTTCCATGTCCTTTGTTACAGGAGCCCCTGCCCCATTTAGCAGTGGGGCCACACTCTCCCTAGTCTTCCTTTTGCTGCTGATGTACCTGTAGAAGCTTTTCTTGTTAGCCTTCACGTCCCTTGCCAGATTCAGTTCCAGGTGAACTTTGGCTTTCCTAACTCTGAGCCCCTGCCCCATTTAGCAGTGGGGCCACGCTCTCTATAGTCTTCCTTTTGCTGCTAATGCACCTGTAGAAGCTTTTCTTTTTAGTTTTCACATCCCTTGCCAGATTCAGTTCCAGGCGAGCTTTGGCTTTCCTAACTCCTTCTGTACATGCTTGTACAGTGTCTCAAAATATTCCTGAGTCACCTGTCCACCTTTTTTTTGCCTCCTTTTGAATGTTTTATTTTTATCAGGGACTCCTTTTTAATCAAAGTAGGCATCCTACTACCATTTCTTGAGTTTCTGTATACGGGGATGGACCATTCTTGAGCTTGGATGAAGTGGTCGTTGAAAATCAACCACAATGATGGACTCTCCCAAAAGCAGTGAAAAGCCCATCAATACCTAAGGTAGAAATGGGGCTTAGAAAAATTAGAAGACTAAAAACGTTCATATGGACATAGGGATTCCTGCAGCTCCGTTAACACTAGTACGATTGTGAATGCCTGGCCCAAGAAAACCAGATGAGCTTGGGGCCTTGGCTCTGTGGGGAGCTGGAGGAGATCCAAGTGATCTCTCTCCTCATCTTTAACTGCACAGTCTATGGGTCTTCTGCAGCTGCCAGGGAGCCCATCTCCCTGGCCCAGCCTATCTGAGATCCCCAGGCATCCCTGCAACTTGTCCTGGAGAGCCACCTCCTCCCTTGGAAGCTCTGGATGAGGCATCGGAGGTATCAGGGATCCTGGTGGTGTTGGCTACTCCGTCCTGCAGCATGTCACCACCATCGCAGAGGTCATGCACTCTGCTTTCAGCCCAGTGTCCAAAATTCACTGTTCCATCTGTGCTCAGGTCTGCTGGGACAGCCCGTACCTAGGGCTCTCCTTTGTAGGTGTGAGGCAGAAAAAGCTCTCCACCTTCTCTGATCAGGATTCGGCTGGAAACAAAGCCCAAAGCACCTTTTGATCAGGAATATCCATCTGAGCTTGTTAGGGGCTGCTGGAGCCTGTGAAAAGTCACAGCCTCCTGTTGCTACTCTTTCCTGGTGGCAGCAGGCACCCTGATGTTCCTCAGATAGTCCAGGTAATCAGTGGCCTACAGACTTTTACGCATTGGTAAAATATTTTAGTGAACTCTATTTCCACCGGGTTCCATCCTTTGCCCCCCTTCAAAGCTTTGTAGGAGCCACATCCTGCTTGAAGGTTTCTCTCCTTGAGTTGCTAATAGATTCTAAATTGGGCAACAGGTTACGCTGCCGTCAGCTGGAATCTGATGAGCAATGGGATAAAAGACCATATGATGTGAGTTTTAGTAATAGGAGGGGCTGTATGTGAGGGCTTGGGTAGGCTCTCCTAACCCCATAGCCCAGCTTCTGCCCCAGCTTTTATTAAAAAAAAATAATATATCCAATTCCTTAATTCAAATAGAAACTCAAATTTTAAAAATTATTTTTGAAATAAATTATTTTTACCTAAGCATGAGACAAAGCTTGCTCCTCAGCTGAATTACCCTCACTCTCTCCTAAGTTGAAGTGAAATGTAACTGGGAGCTGGCATCATTCTGGAACATGCAGTTATGGTGAATTACACCCAGAGAAGGACACAGGGGGATGAGGGTCCTGCCTGGAAATCACAGCTGCTGAAATCACATCCCCACAGTTTGAGGGGATGTCTTGGGAAGAAACAAGGAAGCGAAGGTGACATCTCACCCTTCCTCTGCCAGACCCCAGCTCCCAGTTCGGAAGAGACCGCTACAAAAGGAAGAAGCAGAGAAGACTTGCTTTCCCTTGGCTTTTGGGGTTTGGTGGGACAGCAGGGGGTAAAGCCATGGCAGATCTTGCTTACACTCTCATGGGAGCCTGAGGAATGTTAGGCAGAGGGAGATAAGCAGCTGAGGCCCATGAAGTACCAAATAGTTTAGATAACACTGCTATGCGTTGCCGCTGCTACGTAACCCTGATGATAGCTTTCATCCTAAGGTCATACATCAAGGTTAAATAAGCCCCTTAACTGACTAAATAAATCAACCTTTTTGGATAAATATCTAAACAAATGTATGTTCATATTTATATTTTTTTCCTATTCTCCCCTTTTATTCATCATGTTGTGTTTTACTTCTGTGGAATTTTTAAAAAATCTACTAAAATTTCTGTTCAACTGAATTTTGTTCCGATTGCCCATGAACTACATGGCAAAAGAAGCTGCATTTCTTTATTTTTTCAATTAAATACAACTCTGAGCCAAAAAAACCCAAACAACCAAACCCAAAACCAAGAAAGACACGAAGCCACACGTGTCCAGCTTATTTGGTCAAAAGCAAAGTCCTCCACCACCACAGCTTTGTGGATTCATTTTCTCCGAGATTTTTCCCGACTGAAATGATATTTGGGTATCAGTGACACACACAAGGGCAGCTGACCTTCCCTTGGCACTGGGCGCGAAGGGCAGCAGAAAGGAACAATTTAAGCCAACTTCGTGCTCTCTGAGGCTTTGGAGCTCCAACCTGTGCCCAGTCCCCGACAGGATTCAGACAGCTGAGAGGAGCCAAAGCCAAAGGCTCTGAAAACTCCTTTCTGCAAGTGACTGTCCTCCTCTGCCGGAGGAGGGTAGAAGTGCCCTAAGCCACCAGAAGTTCTGGACTCCAATGGTTGTGTCCACCTGCTCCAGTGATACCACTTCATCGTCCCTGTGAAACCCAGCTCCTTGCTGGGGTGGGATGGGCAGACTGTTAGGGAGCACGGCCAGGATTACACCCTCCTTCATGTGTATAAAACACCTTGCCATGCACAACCGGCCCTACAGATGCACGCTGGTGACAGCAGGTGGCTTTCCTGGGTGAAAGCTGCTTGCTTGGAAGCCAGGGACCAGGCTTAGCTTCCCCCTGCTAAGTTCCCCAAGGTGGTATCATGTGCTTGACCCATCCAAGGGCAAAAGAGACAAGAAAGCAACATTTTTCTATTGCTGGATCCGTTACACCTCCAGTCCAGGCAATTAATGTTCAGGAGCAATCTTACTTTGTAGGATTAACCCATTCCTCTGCCCTGAGGTCCTGATTCTTGTGCACAACCACATATTGCTGATACATCCTGTTTCTGACTATTCCTTCTCTTTTATGGACTCCTAAATAAGACTTGATTTCATGAGTTCACATCTCAAAGTGACAGGAATGGAGATATTTTTTCTTTTATTGAGTTTTGATTTGACATTATGATGCAGGGTGTCTTCTGTGTGAAATTCAGTTTTCTTCTTGTTTGCACTGTCTTACCCCTCAGGATTTTCTAACAAGATTTGAAATTTCTTTCCCTTCTTTAGCATGAGAACACACAGGTTAAAGACAAATTAGAGTTGTCTGGACTGTTTTTAAAATAAGCAGTGTGAACCTAGCTACTTTTCCCTTATCCATGCTAGTCACCATGCTGACCTCAAGTACTGTGCTTGTATGGGTAAATGTTCATAGAATCGTAGAATGGGTTGGGTTGGAAGGGACCTTAAAGACCATCGAGTTCCAACCCCCTGCCCTGGGCAGGGACACCTCCCACCAGACCAGGTTGCTCCAAGCCCCATCCAGCCTGGCCTTGAACCCCTCCAGGGATGAGGCAGCCACAGCTTCTCTGGGCAACCTGTTCCACATGTGAACAAACACAGCTCAATCCTCTGCTGTAGGTGGAAGCAGGGAAATTCAGCATCAATTCGGATACGGTTTTCTGTGCTGAGTGAGACCTGACTTCACAGCAAACAGCAGGCACTTATGGCAGCGCCATCCCTTTCCATTTTTCCAAGAGATACAACAACTAAGTCAACCTCACATGTTCCAAACAGAAAGACCAAAGGCCACCTTTTTGTGGCAAACCTCTTCCGAAGGGCATGCGTTTGCTCGTTACCTTGTGGACTCCTGCTTGTAGATGTCGATGATGTTCTCCACCAGCAGGTTCCTCTGCAGCCCGTAGACGCCATGCCGGTCGAGGACCACTTCATGCCTGCAGGAGGGACATCGAAAGCGGCCTCCCGATGCCACAGTTGTGCCTCCCCGGGTCGGCAGGTAGGGGTTGGAAGCCTGCTCTTGCCAAGCAGCACAAGAAGAGGTCAGTAAGGCCATGAAAATCCATGAAAAATTCCTTCAAAAACACCTCCACGGGGTGAGGGGCTGGTTCATCAGCTCACCCAGGCGGCCATGTCCCCCCAGCCAACAGGTGACACTTTAATCTGCTGTGAGCTCAGCCCTGGCCCCCAGGACACTCATCTTCTGCTTTAAATCTCTCTCACACACACCCCCCGCTTCCACCTTTATCACCTGTTGACAGCAATCAACCAAAACATATCTTAAAAAAAAAATAATAAAAAGAATCTTTTCCATTCATTTCAGCCGGGGCCACTTGGGAGGCAAGAGCTTCCTGTGGGAAGAATCACAGAATCTTCATGGTTGGAAGGGACCTTTGAGATCATCAAGTCCAACCACAAATAACAAACAAACAAAAACCACAAAAAAACCCCACAAACAGAAAGAAACCATCAATCTCAGGCACTAGAGCATGCCCTGAAGTGCCACATCTACGTGTTTCTTAAACCCTCCAGGGATGGTGACTCCACCACCTCCCTGGGCAGGCTGTTCCAGAAGCCTACCTGGAAAATGTCGCTGGCGCATTTCCGACAGAGGTTGTGCTGGCAGGGCAGGATGACCACGGGCTTGGTGAACATCTCCAGGCAGATGGGGCAAATCAGCTGTTTCTCCAGGTTGTCCATGGTTTGCTGCTCTTTGGAGAAGGACTTGTAGTTCAGGGAGGTGCTCATCCCTAGCTTTTCCAGGGGCATACGCTCAGGATCACGGCCTCGCGGAGGGGCGTTTTTTTGTTGTTTTTTTTCCGGGTTAATTTCCCTTGAAATAAGTCCAAGGCTGTGCTGCGATCAGAGGCTCTCTGGGTGGCTCTGGCCGGAGGACATTGTTTGAACGAGGGGGGCTGAAGGGAGCCGGGGTCTGTTTTTAGCAGCGCGGCGTCACCAGATGCCACCCAGCCGTGCCCATATAAGCGCGTTGAGAGGAGGACAGGCTGGGACAGGTGACAGCTGGACCGGGGGGGGACAAGTGGGGGTGGCTCTGGCTCTCCTCACTCGCACATGGTGGCCTTCACCCCTCCGGGAGGAGGAGGAGGAGGAAGAGAGTGAGCGATAAGCAAGCGCCGTCCACTCCCCCCCTTATCTCTGCACGGTGGCGGTGGAGGGAGCAGGGCTGGCTGCCCCAACCTGCCTAATTAATACTCTCTTTTGTGCAAGCAGCCATGGCCGTGAGGTGCAGGACATAATTTGGGGTAATTTTGTGTTTTGGCAGGCTCCAGGAGCTCGGTTTTCCAAGGTGTGAGGCGCACGCGGCGGCTGGAGAAGACAATAGGAGCGATGGGCTGTGCTGGAGCTCAGGCACTTCAGGGCATAAACACATCACCACCCTGAAAAACAGTTAAAAAAAAAAAAATTGCCTGCCTATAACTGTGTTTAAGTTTCTTCTGGTATGATTTTATTATTATTATTTTTTTAGAGGCACTTCAGGGCATAAACACATCACCACCTTGAAAAACAGTTAAAAAAATATATTAAAATTGCCTGCCTATAACTGTGCTTAAATTTCTTCTGGTATGATTTTATTATTTATTTTTTTTTATGAGCTGTAACATCAGAATCTATTCAAGCTGTTAACTCCACAGCCGCTTAAATATGCACCAAAAACATTATGTGATGAGAAAGAGACAGAAGAAATACAGTATGAAAAGCTTTCATTTGTACTGCGAGAGAATAGGTGCTAATTTTATGTGCTCTCTCAATACATAATTTAATTCAAATATATTTTAGTTTTGGGCACTGCTGTGTTTATATATGTTTATTAGACACTGATATCCCTCTCAGCTTGGCACTTGTTCCAGAGTTATTTTTAAAATGACAATTTCCCAGATAATTTGTGGCATGTGACGCCTGATCTTAAGGGAAAGCCATCTGTGCTTCTACTTGCCAATAATTTATCACACAACTGTACAAGCAATAAATATCTCATCCTCAGATTTAAGCCAAAGTCCCTGCATGTACTGTATAAAATCACTTTGCCACTGTACTGTACATGTAATCAGAATATTGTCTTCTCTTTTAATCACTATCTAGATGACTTCCCCTGTTAAGCATCTTGGAGAAGGCGCTCATGTTGGTTCTACCTCATGGCTGTTTCATATGCATTTGAAATATGCTATATGATGGTCGGGTTCCCTACACATCCAGGGACAGACCCCATATCCAAAGCAGGGCCCTTTATCTGGAAATTACCACTCTGGAAGATGTGCAGGGAAATAATAAAAGTGACTGTTTGCACCGATTTCCGCATGAAAATGAATACTATTCTCTGCATGCAATGGCAATGAATCGCATTAAATTAAATCATAGAATCATAGAATGGTTAGAGTTGGAAGGGACCTTAAAACTCATCCAGTTCCAACCCCCTGCCCTGGGCAGGGACACCTCCCACCAGACCAGGTTGCTCCAAGCCCCATCCAGCCTGGCCTTGAACCCCTCCAGGGATGGGGCAGCCACAGCTTCTCTGGGCAACCTCTTCCAGTGTCTCACCACCCTCACAGCAAAGAATTTCTTCCTGAGATCTCATCTAAATCTCCCCTTCCTTTTTCAATTTAAAACCGTTACCCCTTGTCCTGTCACTACATTCCCTGACAAAGAGTCCCTCCCCATCTCTCCTGTAGCTCCCTTCAGGTACTGGAAGGCTGCTATAAGGTCTCCCTGGATCCTTCTCTTCTCCAGGCTGAACAACCCCAGCTCTCTCAGCCTGTCCTCACAGCAGAGGTGCTTCAGCCTTCTGCCCATCTTCATGGCCCTCCTCTGGACCCGTTCCAACAGGTCCATGTCCTTCCTGTGTTGAGGACTCCAGAACCAGACACAGTGTTTGGGTGAAATCCTGTGCCCATTTGCAGAGCCCACCGAGCTGGAATTTGCCCTATGCAAATCTACACGTTCATCAGCAGTCATGCGAAAACAGATTTTTCCCTTGCAATCACAGGCTATTCGCAATAATTTAATTAAACCCGTTTGAAATCACACCTTTGCTTGGGCCGCCTGGTGCAGACGAGAGCCCAAAGCGGAGCAGGAGAAGCTGCTCCAGCAGCTGAGCTGCCGACAGCTGGGGCTTTGGCAGGGGAGCCATTCTTGGCAACAGCGAGAAAGTATTTCTCTCCTTCCCCTCCCCTCGGTGGCCGGGTCAGAGGTGGCGTTTGCATCTGGAGGAATTTGAACGCCTCATTCCTACCCTCCTCACTCTGGGTCAGCTGCCCCTGGTGCATCAAAAACCGGCTTTAATTAAGGGCTTTGAATTAGATGAGGAAAGCCTTCCTTGCCTTGTGAGTCAGGCACTTCCACCTCCCTGCACGGGCAGAAACAGAGAAATTACAGAATCACAGAATGATGTGGGGTTGGAAGGGACCTCTGGAGATCATCTAGTCCAACCCCCTGCCACAGCAGGGTCACCCAGAGCAGGTTGCACAGGAACGTGTCCAGGTGGGTTTGAAATGTCTCCAGAGAAGGAGACTCCACCACCTCTCTGGGCAGCCTCTGCCAGGGCTCTGCCACCCTCACAGGAAAGAAGTTCCTCCTCATGTTTAGTGGAACTTCTTATATTCAAGTTTGTGCCCATTTCCTCTTGTCCTGTCACTGAGCACCACTGAAAAAAGCCTGGCCCCATCCTCCTGACACCCATCCTTTAAATATTTATAGGCATTGATCAGATCCCCCCTCGGTCTTCTCTTCTCCAGACTAAAAAGACCCAAGTCCCTGAGCTTTTCCTCATCAGAGAGATGCTCCAGGCCCCTCATCAGAGAGATGCTCCAGGCCCCTCATCATCTCTGTAGCCTCTGCTGTTCCCTCTCCAGCAGTTCCCTGTCCTTCTGGAACTGGGGAGCCCAGAACTGGACCCAGTGCTCCAGATGGTGCCTCCCCAGGGCAGAGCAGAGGGGCAGGATGACCTCCCTCCACCTGCTGGTCACGCTCTTCCTGATGCCCCCCAGGATGCCCTTAGCCTTCTTGGCCACAAGGGCCCATTGCTGGCTCATGGCCATCCTGTTGTCCACCAGGACTCCTAGGTCTTTCTCCTCAGAGGTGCTCTCCAGCAAATTCCGGGAGTAAGAGTTGAAGGTTAGGAACGTCGGTGCACAGAAACCCCTGCATATGGTGATGTAGGGAAGGGGGTGGTCACGGCATGGAAAAAAGCTGGGGGATTGTGCCCCTGTGCCAGGTGCCTTGGACAATGAACTGGGGCACCTTTTGGGGAGTGATGTCCCTCTGGGGTGTAACTCTGGTGAATCTATACTTACCTGCTGCTGGTTTTCCCCTTTCTGTGTGTGAACACGCTAACATGGAGCAGAAAATAAACAGCACAACCACACAAAGGAGCCAGCAAAACAAAGATAAACCCATCTTCTGCAACCAAGCCTGAGCCAAAATATTGTTATCTGGCAGGAATGTGTAGTTCAGATTTGTGAAAAATTAATGCAGGTTTTTCTGTCAAAGTATTAGGAACCACAGTGATTAGTAGGTAAAGAAATGGGGAGGCTCCTCCACGCTTCTGAAGGCTGGATGAGAAGCGCCAGGAAAGCCACGTGTTGTAGGACCGTGGAAGAAGAGGAGAGCAAAGCCCAAGAGGCGGTGGAGCCACAGGATGGTCCTGCAGACTGTCTTCATCAGGGATTGCTCAGCATGGACTTTGAAGGACCTGCACTGAGATAAAAGCCTGGGACCCTCCTGGCAGCCCCATCACCCTCCTCTTCCTCCCCTCCTGCACCCACAAGGGAAGACCACCAGCACGTCCACTCCAAAGAGTCACCAAGCCAAGCCATCTCTCAAGGGACTAACGAAGGGTAAGAGGACCTGCTTTAACCCTGCTCCTGGACAGAAAATCTGGATGTCTGCCAGACATCACCAAGAAGAAAATATAATTTTTAAATGGTAATTTTTTGCAGTCTTCCTTGCCCAGGAACATTACCTGGCTTTATTGACGCAAACAGAACACTAGTTCCTAGAGATATGCTTGTCCTTACAGACATTGCTTCTAACTGACTCCTCTATTTTTGCAGCTGAACAACAGCTTGTGAGCTGTGGACTGGCGGCCAGGAGAGCCTGGAAGGCTGGCTGCAAAGCAGTGGGTTTAGGAGAGGGATTTGGAGGAGGAAGGAGAGGTTGACTGATGTCCAGGTTCAGATTTCAATGCCATAATGACATCTCTGGATTTTGCATTCGCAGAATTCCCCTCTGCAACCTCTTATCTTGTACCAGCACTGTGAAGCTCTCGTGTGTCACTCACAGAAAATCTGTCCTGCTGCTCTCTTGCATGACTGGAAAACAAAGAGAAAAAACATATTTTTTTGCCACAGGATAGCTCCCATGTGACTTTCCACCCCACCGAGCCCGGCAGAGACAAAACCTGCTCTGCAAGTACCAGACTTCTGGCCCAGGCATCCTCACCTGGATGTGGTGGGTGGCATGGAGCATCCTGGTCCACGGGACAATGGGCAGCCCTGGTCTGTTGCCACCCCACCACTCTCCTGTCCTGGAGGACAAGCCAGTACTCTGCCACCCAGCCTGGGGCAGGCAGACCTCTCCACCAGCAGCTTCCTAAAGCAGGTGGGCATCTGCCCATCATCCACAGGGCAGGGATGGACACTTGCTCCCACCCTGCTGTCCCCAGCAGCTCCCTGTGCTCCCAAGGCTGATGGGACTCATCTGAGGGTTTTGCTGGAGGAGGACAGGGCTGGTGGGTGCCCTTGTGGGGCCGCTGCCATTGTGTATGGGGAACACCAGACCCACCTGCCTGTCACCTCCTAGTTTTGCCCTGCCTTGCTCACCTTTGGCTGAAGTCCTGACTGGAAGAAGTCCTGGCCTGGAGAAGTCCTGGCTGCCTGAGCAATACAACATCCTAACAAAAATGAGGCTGCTGCCTC